TGGAAGGCCAGTGGGCACGGTGGAGTCTGGAAGGCCAGTGGGCACGGTGGAGTCTGGAAGGCCAGTGGGCACGGTGGGGTCTGACCTGCGGCCATGGGTGCAGGGGTATGTGGCCAGCAGGGAAACGGCCATGTGCCACCTGCCACAGAGCACACGGGCCCAGCACACCCGGGCCAGTCCAGTTGTGGACAACAGGCCTCTCTTACTCCTTGTCATCAGGGCAGGCTCTATCCGTTTTATGACAGGCCTCAGTACCCTGGACTTCCACACAGGACCAGGTCCCACATCACATGGCAGGCCTTGCCCCTGTGGTGGTGATGCGGAGCCACGAGAGACACAGTAATTTCCCTGAGTGTTGCTGACTCAGTGTTGGGGCGGGTGAAGGCGCAGGTCTGGGAGGGCCAGGATGTGGATGAAGAAGGTTCCTGCTGATGGACCGTGTCCGTGCTCCCCTGTGCCCATCCAGCTCCTCACCCACCATCACCCACCCTCCCCACTCCCGTGACCAGCACCACACACACTCGTCACGCACACACACTCACACCCAACACACAGCACAACTCACACATACACTCACACATCACACGTCACATGCACACTCACCACACACACATCACATGCCACACACACACACCACAAGCACATGTCACACATCACATGCACACTCACCACACACACATATCACATGCACACACAGGGCATGGTATGTCATATGTTACACACTCACCACACACATGTCACATGCACACACAACACAGTATGTCATGTGTCACACACTCACCACACACATGTCACATGCACACACAACACAGTATGTCATGTGTCACACACTCACCACACACACGTCACATGCACACACATGCGCATGACACAGTATGTCATATGTTACACACACTCACCACACACACCACACAGCACGTCATACATCACACACACTCACCACACACATATACATGTCACACTCACACGCTCACACCCACCACACAGCACATGTCACAGGTACACTCACCACACACAGATCACATGTCACATGCACACACACCCACCACACAGCACACATCACAGGCACACTCACCACACACAGATCACATGTCACATGCACACACACCCACCACACAGCACACATCACAGGCACACTCACCACNTTTTTAAAAAATGTTTGCAAAGGGCAAGGAATAAGAGAGCCTTAGAACTGGAGAGGGAAAACCTTATAACAGATGCATTTTGAATTTTGAAAATTAAACATTTAAAAAATCAGGGTATTATATAATAAACTTGTGTTTTCTAAGTCAAAAAATATTGCATAATAATGCAAGACTTGTCATGTAAAACAGCAGTCCCGTTCCCTTCTCTCCACACTGTGTCACATTCTCTAGTCAAGAGGCAAATGCCATCCACTCTTGGCTCGGGCTGCTCTTTGCTACATATTGCTAAAGAACACACTTGCTTTATGTCCCAGTTTCAAGTTTTATTCACTGACTTTTACTGCAGACAATGAGCAGCTCCCTCTCTTACGTTCCTGTCCCTGCGCTCCGCACCCGCACACACACCACTGCCTCCACCGTGCCCCAGCACCATTGTGTCGCCATGTTTGGTTAGATTTATGTTCAGTATTTATATTATGACTATGTAAATATTCCTCACAGATGAGCCATGCCTTATATTTATTGTATTTTCTTTCCAACACTTTTGTTTTTCTTGCAGTTAATAATTCAGTCTTTTTTTTTCCATTTGCTTAGTTTTCTAGTTCCCTATTTCTAATTCATTTTTCACTTCTCTACCAGAAGCATAAATTACACTTCCGAGAGGTCAGACCCATCATATCGTCTACCAGTTTCATCTTTTATTTCTCTTTTCTCCCTGGAGCCCTCTGTCCTCTGCTCCAATCCCACTGGTTGCTCTCCAGGCCACCTGCATGAGGGCACCCCAGAAACTCCCTGCCGCTGCTCCTGGGTTCCTCCGTTGGATGCCCTGTTCTTGGATCCCAGGTCTTAATCAAACATATTCCTTTATAACTCTAAGACATAAGAAAAGGTCCATGGAAGGTAAAAACTGAGAATTTGCATGTCAGAAATTTTTTTTTCTTTTATCTTCACTTTTGTCATAATATGGCTGGGTATAAAATTCTAAGACAGAATCTATCTTTTCCACCCTTAATAAAGCATTGTTTATTATTTTCTAGCTTTCACCGTTGCTTTTAAGAAATAATGTCATTCTGGTTCCCTGTCCTTTCAATGTGACCTGTTTTATTTCTTTGGAAGCTTTCATGATCTTTTCTTTATCCCAGGTTGCTGAAAGTCATAAGAACAAGCTTTGGTGTGAGTCTGTTTCCATCCATTGCTCTGGGCACCTTGGCAGCCCTTTCAGTCTAGAAGCTCAGATCCTTCAATTTTGGGAAAAATTTCTTGAATGTGTTTTCTTTTTTTCCACATCATTTCCTCCTCTGTTTTCTCTATTCCTTTTTTCTTTCTGGAACCCTATTATTTAGGTGATGAGCATCCTACACAAATCCCAAATTGTTATCTTTTCTCTCCTATTTTCATTGCTCTTTCCCTACATTCTGAGAATTTTCTCAACCTTACCTTCTAACCCTTCTGTCGCCCCTTCTGCTGATGCAGACGGGCCTGGGGCATGGCCTGATGACCAGAGAGTCACAGGTCCTGCTGCTGCCCCCACAAGCCTTGAAATTACCTCCACAGGTGAATGTGCTGGTGTCCTTCGTGCTCCCCTTGGCACTCACCGCTTTCCTGAACGGGGTCACCGTGAGCCACCTAGTGGCCCTCTGCTCCCAGGTGCCATCAGCTTCTGCTCCAAGCAGCTCCACNTTCTGGTTCCCTGTCCTTTCAATGTGACCTGTTTTATTTCTTTGGAAGCTTTCATGATCTTTTCTTTATCCCAGGTTGCTGAAAGTCATAAGAACAAGCTTTGGTGTGAGTCTGTTTCCATCCATTGCTCTGGGCACCTTGGCAGCCCTTTCAGTCTAGAAGCTCAGATCCTTCAATTTTGGGAAAAATTTCTTGAATGTGTTTTCTTTTTTTCCACATCATTTCCTCCTCTGTTTTCTCTATTCCTTTTTTCTTTCTGGCACCCTATTATTTAGGTGATGAGCATCCTACACAAATCCCAAATTGTTATCTTTTCTCTCCTATTTTCATTGCTCTTTCCCTACATTCTGAGAATTTTCTCAACCTTACCTTCTAACCCTTCTGTCGCCCCTTCTGCTGATGCAGACGGGCCTGGGGCATGGCCTGATGACCAGAGAGTCACAGGTCCTGCTGCTGCCCCCACAAGCCTTGAAATTACCTCCACAGGTGAATGTGCTGGTGTCCTTCGTGCTCCCCTTGGCACTCACCGCTTTCCTGAACGGGGTCACCGTGAGCCACCTAGTGGCCCTCTGCTCCCAGGTGCCATCAGCTTCTGCTCCAAGCAGCTCCACTCCCAGCCACCCGGAGCTCCTGAGCGAGGAAGGTCTCCTCAGTTTCATCACCTGGAGGAAGACCCTACCTCTGGGTAGCCAGGCCATCCTGGTGAGACACAAGGATGTGAGCCGGATCCGTAGCCTCCAGCGCAGCATCCAGGTTCTGAGTTGAGTCCTCTGTAACACTGCCCCAAGAGGAAGGGATGGGTTCCTGGGCCACCTGTCTCCACCTATCCCTTGCCAGTGACCTTAGCAAGTTACTTCCCCTCACTAGGCCTGCGTTTTTCTATGCCCCAGAGGAACTGTATAATCACCAACAGGCTTCCTGTAAGGTTCAGTGGGATAATTAAAAGAAAGAATGGAAATCCTGTACTTGAACCGGCCCCGCCACGATCTGCTCCAGGGAGTAGCACACGCAGACAGGCAGAGGCCTGGCTGCTTTTCTGGAAGTCTGGCTGCGTGGATGATATGAGGAGCAGTTACAGTTAAGACCTGCAGGCAGGAATCACGGACTCTCACACTGGCTGGGTGCCCAAATCCAATCCCCTCAACTCTCCACTTCCCCTACGGCAATGTTGATCTGTTTGTTTGCTTGCTTTTGTAAGCATCTAGGCAAATTTGGCCTTGTAAGACAAACCTTAAAAGACACAAGGAAACAAAGGTCTCTCCAGGCATCTGCTATAACCCAGGCACTAGCTACATTCCGGGAGGATCGAGTAAGAGACAGGGTCTCTGCTCTTGGCAAGGTCACGGTCTTGCACATGGGCAGAGATGTAATGTGATGCAGTAAGTAACCCAAAGTCAGTAAATGAAGGTGTTGGACTTTGTTTTATAGACAATGAGTCATTGAAGGGTGTCAGGGACCGGTACCTGAGGGGAGATGGTAGGAAATTGACACACTTATTAAATCAGGAGGGCTTTTCTCAAGCTGCTGGCTTGAGAAGCCCCTTAGTTTATTTTAGGTTCTTTTTATAAGCCAGTAAAATAACACATTATATTGATTAAGCCATTTACATCTGGTACAAAGCTGTTTGTAGAACACTTTCTGTTGCCATGGTGCTTTGAAGGTTCAGGACTAACTACTTATCAGCAAAGCAAGAGCATAAATTCCTCCTTTACGAAGTTCTCAGGGTCCCGGGTTCATTCAAAGTTCAGATCTCAAGGAGAGGGAGAAAGGGGAGACAGGCAGATGGGCAGCCAGCTTTTGCTGGCGCAATTCCCATAAGATAGCAAGAACTTTGTCAGCTTGCTACCTAGTGTCTTACAGAAGGGGCCGATGTCTTAGAGTGACGGGTGATTTGTGTTTGAGATCTCTTGCACTCAGCAGCTCTTTGAAGAACGGGCTAAACAGTACTTCTCACACGTGGATGTGTGTAAGAGTAATCTGGAGGCTGTAAAACGCAGACCGCTGAGCCCCAACCCAGACATTCTGACTCAGTAGGCCTGGGGTGGGCTGGAGATTCTGCCCTTCCCCCACACTCCGTGTTGACGTCAATGCTGCTGGTCCAGGAGTCACATGGGACTAGAGATGGGCTGCTGATCCAGGCAGGGC